ACGACGAGTTAGTGCGCAACACCCGAAACCGCTTGTGTCATAACCGAAATCGTGATATTGCATCATGCAAGCCGCCTCCGAATATGTGCACTACATTTGTATCTCGAGTTTGAATAACCATCTTTTTAGACGAACTCTGTTTATCTGGTAGTTTGATCAACAAAAAATGGAGCCACGATGACATATCATAGTTCATCTTCGCTCTTGAGAAGAGAAAATGTCAGATGGAAAGCAAGTGACGATGAAAACCAGTGAAAGCCTTGTGGAAGCCTTGTTTTGAAGATTTGGAAAATTCAGCAACCATAGTGCGAATAGCAGACGTCACTGTTAATTACTCTCCCAGCACTTGCTTTTTTATATTCCTTCTGTTTCTTTTTAGTTTGCATATAAGATTTGGTCAAAGTCAAACTTTGTAAAATTTGACTAGCTTAGTAGGAAAAGATATCAATATCCACATTATGAAATCAATACTATTAGATGCATGATGAAATTAATTTTCATAACATATAACCCTAGTATTGTAGATGTTAATACTTTTTTCTATAAAGTTAGTCAAACTTTACAAAGTTTGACTTTGACCAAATCTTATATGCGAACTAAAAAGAAACAGAGGGAGTACCATGTAAATTCATAAATTTGTGTTTGAACTTGGAATTTCACATGCTAATACAGCACCCCCTTCTTAATGTACTGAATCACTCTTGTTTTTATATAGAAAAAAATAATCAAATGTGCTTTTCACTGTAATCTGGTTTCTACTAGATATTCCCACCTTCTTGTGCCGTTGACGTGTGGGGCCTACCAGCAAGAACGTTCGTAGCAATAAAATCGTTTTTCTGTTTGCCGTGGGACCATTCTGTCAGCAACGAGTCTATCGATCCCCAGTCTCTCCCTTCTTCCCCGGACCACCACGGGTCCATGGCGGCAACCACGAGGGGCTCCTGGCCGCGCCGCCCAGCTTCTGCGGAGCCACGGTGGTCGCCGACTTCAATGGCTGGCGCCGGAGCCTCGCCGACGGCAACTTCCTACTCTCCGCCGCGTATTCTTCGGACCCCGGGTAAATTAATTAAACTCTGAATTCTTTGGAATCCTAGGTAAATTTTGAATCTAAACTGGTTTCGATTTCTGGAAATTTCTCCAAATCTACGCCAAATCTTTCTGGCCTAGCCAGCCGCGAGCAGCAGGCGCTCCGCTGGCCTGGGATCCCTCCCTCCCTCACTCCTCCACTGCTAATAATTGCCTGCAGCAGTTTAATTTCCTAGTCTAATCCTATCATCCAAATGCAATGCAACTGTGATCTACAGGATGGCCTAACATGTTGCCCAACAATAATACTATGTTGGATCTTGGCATCTATGTATACAACACAACGCAAGACAGAGCCTCATCTTCTTTTATACTCTCTATATATTTGTGGTGTTCGTCTTGCTTGATTGGATGGAATCACACACATATAGTATTGTTGGTTGGTCGATTGCAAGCTTGTACATCAACATGGTACCAACAATAACAAAATGCTAACCAGAACAATGGGAGATGACGATGTACTCCCTCCGTCCCGTAAAGCTTGTCCCCGTGGAGTATATGATTGCTCACCTCCTTCTTGCCAGTAAGCCAGTTTCATGTTCCACTAGTTAGCCACCTCCATACTGAGACTAGCTAGAACTACTCGGGAGTTGCTAGTGATAGTGCGACTGTCACTTTACTCTCCTCTTCGTCTTGCACACTTGATCCGTTGGACCTACGCTACTTCTACCCGGTATGCATACAACCTCACTTTTGAATTTTCTGCTCGATCTGATGTAATTTGGCCTCTTAATTAGGTGCCTATGTATACCCCACCATCGATCCTCCGCTGAAAATTCATTTCAGGCACTGCGATCAGGAGCTGCAGTAATGGCGAGAGGGCCGCTGAACCTTTGGAACCACTGGGCGACCCAGATCCTGCTTCTCCTGAGCCTCGCGCTCCAGATCGTCCTCTCCGTCTTTGCCGGGATCCGTCGGCGTCAAAGCTCCTCCATGCCGAGGATACTCCTTTGGCTGGCGTACCTCCTTGCCGACTCCACTGCCATATATGCCATCGGCCACCTATCCCTCAGCAGCGCACCATCCAACCACCACCTTGTCGCATTCTGGTCGCCTTTCCTCCTGCTGCACCTTGGCGGACCAGACAACATCACTGCCTATGCTCTTCAGGACAATCAGCTCTGGCTCCGGCACCTCCAAACCCTTGTTGTGCAGGTACTCGGAGCGGCCTATGTCTTGTACAAGCATATTGCTGGGAACGGCAACTTCCTCGTGCTTGCTGCCACCTTGATGTTCACTGTCGGTGCTGTCAAGTACGGGGAGAGGACGTGGGCACTGAAATGCAGCAATCTGGACAGCATCCGGAGCTCCCTCAAGAAGGAACGACCCACCAGGCATAACCATTTCCACCCTCAGGATCAGGCGGGAGATCACAAAGATGAGGAATTCGTTCTCCGTCGAGCTCATTCGCTGTTCCACATCTGCAAGCGTGCCATAGTTGATTCTTCAGTCGACGGGGATTCAGAATATCGAGACACCACAGAAATGCTTGGGAAAATTGATATGATCTGGGGTTTGATGGAGATGGAGCTCTCGCTCATGTATGACATCTTGTACACCAAGGCGGCTGTGATCCACACCTGGTTCGGCTACTGCCTTCGGGTCATCTCGCCCCTTGCCATCGTCGCATCCCTTCTGCTTTTTCAGTTCAGCAGCAAAGTTGGGCACAGCAGAGTTGACATTGCCATCACCTATGTGTTGTTGTGCAGTGCTTTGTTCATGGAGACAACTTCCCTGTTGAATGCTGTAGGGTCCACCTGGGCATTTGCATTCCTATGTACCACGAGCTGGAGCTGGCTCCGATACGAAGCCCTATGCACCGCGAGATGGGACCGGCTACGGCGTGCGGTTGCATCTCTTCACCGGCTCATCAAGGCAACCACTGGAGGAGGTAGCAGCTACAGATCGGAGAGGTGGACAGGCACCCGCACCTTGGGGCAGTACAACATGTTGCACTTTTGCACTCGCCGTGACAACAACCTGGCTAGCCCTCTGCTTGGTAGGTTGGCCAAGATGGTGGGTCTCGGGGAGTGGTGGAACAGGAAGCATTACTCGGGATCTATCGAGATCTCAGAGCTTGTGAAGGAGCATACCATCAAACACATGGCACGGTTGTACAAGAAGGGGAGGTGGAACGCATTAGGAGTTCTCAGGAAGAAGTGGGGCCAGGAGGCACTGGAGCAAAATAAATCGTTCCCAGAACTCGAGGAATTCCTCGGTGTCGAGTTTCAGGAAGGCGTCATCATCTGGCACATCGCCACCGATGTTTTCCTCATCAAGAGCGAGCGAGCAAGGGTGGAGGGTGCATCGGGTCGTGTGGAGGCCATCAAGCTGATGTCCAACTACATGGTGTTCCTCCTCGTCGAAAGGCCCTACATGCTACCAGGCCTCGCCCAGAACAGGTTGTACCAACGAACCTGTGAAAATCTGGTCGAGATGCGAGCAGCTCCCAACCATCGAAAGTGGGATATTTGGGAGGTTCTCCGCTCTCTGTTCAGCCTGCGTGACGACCCTGATTCCAATTCCAAGGCCGCCGATATAGAGAAGCTTGCAAAGATCCTATACGATAAGAATCCGTCCTTCAGCATTGATGCTCCCCGTCTCTCTTATGTCACCCGGCTTGCCAGAAGACTGGTAGAAAAGGAGGCAGATGGCACGACTGACTCGTTGCAGCTTGTCCTTGAGGTGTGGACAGATATCCTGGTCTACGCAGGCAACAAATGCAGCAGGGAGTCCCATGCCAAGAAGCTCAACAGTGGCGGTGAGTTCACAACCATCCTGTGGCTTATGGCAGAACACCTGTTCCAAGCTTCTCTCGAGGGCCCATGAAGAGTTAATGATGATTACAGTACATATGACCACATTTGGTTATACTTTTGGAGCCATATCTTGTTCCCATTCTTGAATAAAGAGCTCGATGGATTTAATTGACTAGCAACTCTGTTCTTGGGTCATTGCAGAGTAGTTGGCTAGGTTTGTTTTAGTCCCCAATTCCTTTGTAGCATCATCATGACCACCACATGGAATTCCAAATTTAGTATTGATGTGCTACCAAACGATGAGTCGGTACCTAGTCTGCAAGATGCAGTCACGTACAGTAACATGCTCTTGTTGCCATTTTAATGCAATGAGCACATGCCTGATTCCCCACCATCTTTGCACTTAGTTACTCCTGTGTTGCATAGCTTACTACTTGATTGCACATCTACGAAGAGCTGCTTCAGGGCATGCTGGCAGCCTGGCACTATATTATAGTGTGAGCAACCAGTGGTAGCTTAATTACTATGCAGTTAGTATCTAGCTAGCAGTGGTGTGCATTGCCAATGACTTCTCAGGTAGTTAAACTAGGTTATGAAAATCAATTATGGGATGGGTTTAAACTTTAAAGTAAGGCTGTGCGGTCTAGGGCTTCCCTTGCTATATCCACTTTTGGAACCTCTGTGTGCTTCGTAATGTGAAGGGGATAATCCTTTCTGAAGAACCCGTTTTTTTTAAATGAATAACCTTTTTCTGATGGCCTTATGAGTACATGATTTGGGTTCAAGGAAGTTGGCGGCGCCCTACCTTCTTAGTCCTTCTATCTCGAAACTGTTGTCCATCAAGAGAAACACTTTGAAACCATCTGCCTGTACATGTTCCTAGCAAAATTGAGCTGTTAGCAATCCGTACTTTGGTTGTCACTTAAGATGATGTTGGCTATCTAATGAGTACAGGTGATCTGTAGCTCTGATGTCTGAATCAAAATTAGATCAGCACACCTTGCCGCTTCCCCCCAGGCAAGGTACTACCTTGATTTGTATCCTAAGCACGACTCGTTACAAAATTAGGAAATGATTTATGAGGGGGTGTCCTTGAAACATTAACACTAATCTTATCTTTCTCCCTTGTTGTTCGGGAATGCTCGAGTGGAATTGCTAATACAAACTGCTGCTTGATGAGTCGTTGTCTCTAACCTCGTCGAAGCCTGCAACATGTTGGAGGTCTTGGTATCTCGAGGTATCGAGCAGGCTGTGACCTCGGCACATGGCCTCTGAGAGCATCTTAAGCTGCATCGTCATCCCGGAGTTTGTGATGTATCGAGCATCTACCTCCTCGACGATGGTGCAAGCTCTCATCAGAAGATGCTGCAACCTCTCCACCACCTTCTCCTCTGACAGTGAAAGGCTGGAGGAGTGGTACTTTCTCATCAGGAAGGAAATGAACAAGATCACAAGTTCACTTGCAACTGCTGATATGGCAATGTCCATGGCTCGGATTGATCAGGTAAACTGCTGGTCCGTCTCCGGACAAATTTAATTAGGCTGGCCTCTGCCAAGTCTTGAAGTATCCAAGGTATTTCCCTGGGCGAGTGGGTGGGTATGTTAGTGGGTTTTGTGGGTAGGTTTGATGAGACACGCATACTTTGTTTATATGTCCATAGGCGCGAACAGGATCAGTCAACTTTCCAAGCAGCACGAAAAAGAATTGACTAGCCAGTACGTATTCGTAATATTTAAGCATCTTTTCATTTGTATTTCCTTAGATTTCTTACATTTTACATAGGAAATATGCATGTGGCAACCGTGTGGCAGATTGCAAAACTGCCACACGATCTCATCAATGTCTGTTTTGAATCTAGCAGACACGATCCCGCCTAGCAGCCCCCTTGTTATCTCTCTCCTGCACCCGCTCCAACCGCGCCGCCAGGAAGGAGGCTTCGTGCGCCCGCGCGATGTGCTCATCCTCTATTTGTTTGCAAAACTACCGAACGACTCCCTGGCCCTTCAACCTTGATCGAATCGCAGTGCTCATCCTTTATTTTTTTTCTCAGTGTTGACTGCTCGTCCTTTTCCTCACCTCTCATCGCAGGTGCGTCCGTTTTCGCCGGCCCAGCATGCCACCGCCTGCTGTCGACGTGCACCTCCGTCCGCCTTCCGCATTGAATCCGTAACAGTGCCGCCGGATCCCAGCCTCCCGCGCTGCCCCACGAGCTCCTGCTCCACGAGGCACCAACGTTCTGGAGGAGTACGCCGTGAGAGCCGAGGCGGCCGCCGAGGACGGAGACGATGGTGCCCAGCCGGCCTCGTCGCCCGGCGCCATGTTTGACGGGATCCTGGGGGCTCGCCTCGTGCTGGTGTGCTATTAAAGGTGCTGTCCTAGGGGTCTCATCCTTCTACGCATTTTCACTTCTTGTTTTGTATTTCTTTAGGAATTGGAACGTGTGATAGTTTTAGCTGGATAATCCTCTGAGTGGCGTGCAGGCTCCATGGAAACATCCAACAAGAAGCCATCACTTAATGTGTACGTACATTGATGTGTGCACAGTGCAAACCAGGTGTAAACTCTGTATATTGATGACGATGGCGATGAGTTGGCGGGTTCATTCAGGTGGGAGATGAGAAGATGTGCAGGCCCGAGAAGTTGCAGAGGCTTGGGCGAAAGTTTAGGACGATGGAGGAGGCGCTCAAGGACATCGTCGAGTCCTATATGTGTACATGCATACTAAGCTGAGCTTGGCCATGGTGTCATTGCCCGTGTTGTCAGATGGGGCGAAAGATAGGCGAGACTACATCATGCTTGCTTTCAAAGACGCGAAAATAACTCATTGTGTTTTGTAGGTGCATTTGTAGAAAGTAACATGATAACTTTTTGTGCCAATACATATTTCTTTAAGCATCGTAGGCCCACGATACATATAATCATGCTATTTATGTAATTTATTGTAGGCTTGCGTAATTTATGCGTAAGTTACCATGTTATTTATACAAAAAATTATGTTATTTTTACACACAAAAATTGACTCGAAAACATGTTATTGCAATTATAACCAATGGTAATTTCAGCAAAAATAGCATGATAATGTGTATTGTAGGCATGATAACTTACGTTCAAAATACTGTCATTTAAACATACCTGATAATTTTTGTGTAAATAACATGGGTTTTTAAGCAACGCAGACTTGATAACTTACATCCAAAACGGCATGTTAACATTTAACCTAGATTCTTTTTTGTTCTATAACCGGGGAATTTATGTGTGAATAACATGATAATATAAGTGCCGCATAACCGATAACTTACATACAAGCACCATATTAACTTTTAGACCAGAAAAAAGTTGGTGAAAAAAAACTCCGATAACTTATGTGAAAATAGCATGGTAATATACAAACCCCATACCCCTTGTAAATTATGAGAAAATAACACGGTAATATACGAACCGTATACCCGATACTTTATGTACAAACACCGCGACAACTTTTATCAAAGGGAAATTTTGTTGAAAAACAATCCCCAGTAACTTATGTGAAAATAACATGATAATATACAAACCGCATACTAGATAACTTATGTACAAACACCGCGGTAACTATGACCAAGAGGGAAAAAATTATTGAAAAATATACCCCGGTAACTTATGTGAAAATAGCACGGTAATATATGAACTGCATACCCAATAACTTATGTACAAACACCGTGACAACACTGACCAAGTCGAATTTTTTGTTAAAAAACAATCCCGGTAACTTATGTGAAAATAACAGTACTATACGAACCACATACCCGATACCTTATGTGTAAACACCGCGGTAACTATGACTAAGAGGGAAAAATGTTGTTGAAAAACAATCCCCATGTAACTTATATCAAAATAGCATGGTAATATACGAACCACATACCCAATAAGTTAAGTAGAAACACCGCGGTAACTATGACTAAGAGGAAAAGAGTTGTTAAAAAACATAACCCGGTAACTTATATGAAAATAGCATGGGGTAATATGCGAAGCACATACCCGATAATTTACGTACAAATATGGCGACAACTTTGACCAAGAAGAAACAAGTTATTGAAAAACATACAAATGGTAATTTATGTGGAAATAACACGGTAATATACGAAGCACATATTTTTGATAACTTGTGTACAAACACCGTGGTAACGTTGACTAAGGGGGGAAAGCTTGTTGAAAAACCCCGTCAACTTATGTGAAATTAGTACGATCTATATGAACAACATACCCGATAACTTACGTACAAATATCGCGGTAACATTTACATACCCAATAATTTCTGTGTAAATAGCACAATAATATAAGTACCACAGACGTGATAACTTACATAAAAACACCATGATAATTTTTTATCCCGGAACTAAAAGTTGTTGAAAGGCATACCCTCGCTAACTTTTTTTAAAGTAGATCTAATACACACAACTAGACCTAATAGCTTACCCCGGTCCCATCTCTCTTCGCCATTTTTTAAAGTAGATCACTCATTCAAACTCAAGAAAAGAAAATACAACACATATACACATGAACGCATTCTATAAAGCCTTCTGAGATACCCTGGAAAACAAAAAATTACAGAGAAGTTCCTCCATAAATTTACACATAAAGTGCAGCGTCAATGATGCACCCAAAAAAGTCAGAGGAATCATTTTTCTATGTATTAAGGAAGTAGTGCAAGGGTTAAATGGTTGATTTCCATTGACCTAACAAGAGAGAAGACTTGCGTGTTGGTTACTCGGTCTAGTATTTGTGCTTGACTATCCTTGTTATCAAGCTTCGAGTCCCATCAAAGGCACAGTTTTTTGGTACCAAAAAAACCTCGAAAATCAAGGGATAGAGGGAGATCGAGTCAAGCGAGAGATGCGGGGATCGAATAGAGCAACAGATGCGGAGGGCTCGTTCGCGTTGTTCGGTAGGAAAGACAAACAGGGATCGAACACGCGCTCAAGCCTCGTCGGGTGGATGGTTCATATGTTATGTTTTTTTAGGGGTTGGACGTTTTGCTAACTGGCACACAGTTGCCAGTTATCAAATTCCTTTTACATATGGGGGAATGACGTTTCACATACATGTGTGGAACACTTGAACATGTAAATTGTTTTGTTTTTTTTCCTCATGAACTTCATTGGAGACTGGGTAGCGCACAATTTGATCATCGGCAAAGGAATGATACATTCCCTTTTATCTTGTTCAGTGATGATGAGAATCACAACTCCATGCTTTAGTATCTTCCAGGGCACAAATAGCAGTTTGTTTGTACAATTTTCTCCTTCGGTTTCTTCAGAACGACATCATTCTCTGTGACTTATATTGTGCATTCTTCAGAGCTGATGTTGATCTCCACAATGCTAAAGATTAAATTGTGACCAGAGCAATCAATGAAGCATGAGGAGCTCTGAAATGGACCGGAAGCACTTCAACATCTTGGCCCAAAACTGAACAGGATGACCTCAGAGACGGCCGCACGGCCGAGGTAAGCTCTTTTCCAATGATGCCCAAACAAGGTGGGTTTTGTGCTTGTTTTCAGCTCGAGTGGACATATAAAAATCCAGAAAAAACAAACACTTGAGCCATGGTTCCAGTTATCGGTGGTACTTGCCCGTTGTCTCACTGAAGCCCAAGCGTGCAAACAGGGCACAGCACTGACACATGGCTCCGTGTGGTTGTTTGATCATGCGTTTAGTAACATGGGAGCTGCTTGTTCCATGCAACATGAACAAATTGACTAGTATTTTAAATATTTAGTTATGCCCAAATTAATTGTTGTTCTTGTATATTTAATCATCTCTGCATTTGTCTTTTGTTGGCCTCCTACATTTTACCAGAGGGAATGGCAAAACTGGGACATCCAGAGGATCACTTGTGAAGACAAGTGCTTCGGTGCTTCCTCATATTCTAGATCTAGCAGACAGGTTAGCCAATATTTATTTTGCCTAATATGAATATCATCTCTTTCTAACTGCTTGCTCTGTCTCAGCACCTATTCTAGGACCATGAATACTTTTTTTTCAATCGCCTTTGCTTATCAGATATACATACAAACAATTCAAGGCCATTATTATGTTACATAATGCATTTTTATCTTGGTCACAACGATGATGGGAATCACACACTCTATGCTTCAGTAATCTTCCAGGGCGCATGTAACATGTTTGTTTCCACACTTTGTGTGTTCTTATGAGCTCATTCTGAATCTTTTGAGGGTCCATGAAGGGTTAATGATGATTGCAGTACATATGCCACATTTGATTATACTTGGAGCCATCTGTTGCTCCCTTTCTTGTATAAAGAGCTTGATGGATTTAATTGACTAGTAACTCTGTTCTTGGGTCATAGCAGATTAAGTAGCATCACCATCACGACTAAGGGTGGACAGCACCATCATTTGATTATACTTATGAGCTCATGGAATTCTCAAAACACATGTTTGAGGCTGTATTTGTCTACCTAATCCTCTATTTAAAATTTAGTATCGATGTGACGTTGTGATATGAAATGATGAGTTGGTACTTGGCTGATTCCTCGCTATCGTTGAGCTTAATTTATCCTGTGTGTTGGCACTATACTAATAATGCACAAAACTAGTACTAGCTCAATTGCTCCGCAGTTATGAAAATAGATTATGGGATGGTTCTGGGACTTCTCTTGCTATATCCACTTTTGGAACCATGGAGTTGCACATATATAGAGTTCTTGCCTGGTCAAATTGCATGCTTATAATACACGTATAGCAAAATGCTAGACTATCATGCGATGATGGTACATATACCTCTTGCTTGTTTACTTTCTCTGTTCACTATTATAATATTTTCTAACTTTTTCTGAATATATAGACGCGTTTTGGTGTGTTTGTTCACTCATTTCAGTTCATATGTAGCCCATATTGAAATATTCAAACATATAATTCGGAACAAAGGGAGTAGTTACCTTCCTGATCCATTATAAGCTGCATTACTGAGTGGCGGTATCAGGTAGCGCCACTTCAGATGATGTTATTCATTATCTAAGATGAGCAGGTGGACTGTTTGATCTGATAAAGCATACTTCCTCTGTCCGGAAATACTTGTCGCTCAAACGGATGTATCTATAACTGAAATACATCTAGATACATCAGTACGAGCGACAAGTATATCCGGACAGAGGTAATTCAAGTTTACTTTACATTAATTGAGATTTGCAATACATTTGGTTCAATGTTATACATGAACACATCCATTTGTTTCCCCACAAAAAAAAGAACACATCCGTTTGTCATGCATAGAAAAAGATACAACAATAGTCACATTACACGACTTTGGAAATAAAATTAGATTCGCACTCCTCTTCGCTTCCTCCCTGGTATGGCACTACCTTCAAATGTGGCCTGAGCATGACTTGTAACAAAACAAGCAAATGAATTATGAGGTGGCATTCTTGATTCCCATGAAATTAGCATAAAGTCTTGTTCCGGTCTAACACTAGGATCTGATAGAAGTTGCCCAAATGTCACACTTGGTGATTCCTTATTCATTGAAACATAAACAGTATAAGGTGTCATGCTAAGTGGATGCAAAGCAAAGTCTGTTATGTCCACTGGATGGCCTTGTTCTATAAGTGTGCTTGGGTGCGCACCATACATGGAGAGATTTCTTCTAACGTATCTTAGCCCCTTGTCCAATATGCAACGCCAAAACTGAATATCGAGTTTCCTTCTCAACACATCCGCAAACATATTTGCTGCGAGAAGTGAACCATGTGTACCGTGCAACCCCTTGGCAAATTTATCTACTAGCTGTACTAGCATTGAATGTTCTGCAGGGTCTACACTTCCGAATGCCAGAGTCTTGAAAAGGTAGCTCAACTCATCATAAGATAGAACACTTAAGAAAATTGGCTTCACCGTTCCAAATCGAGCTAGTCTTTGAAGCCTACTAATGATGATGATCTTGCTTCCTCTTCCCATTCTTATGACGAATGAGTGAAACTTTTTCCACTCATCATCACCTACATCAGAAGCAAATTCAATAACTACTAACATCATCCCAACCATGGCCCTTCCATGGTCAAGTATGGTCAAAAGGTTGTCTCCATTCAAGTGTAAAACAGACGGGAAGCATGTGCGAACTCTTCCGTCGCCACACACATGAGCAACCAAAGTTTTCTTCCCAGTTGCAGAAGTACCTAGATCGGAAGAACATCCAGTGCATGACCACCGCTAAGGTCATTGTGCTGCAACAAGAAGCTCAAGAGCTTCTGCTTCTCAGCATGCCGGCTGAACATGAAGTTGTCGGTGTAAAGATAAACATCATAGGGCCTACGAACCATGTGCTCACATCCGCCCATAAGTACAATGAATTCTGCCATGTTAGCTATAGCAATTTCTAAGCTTTCCAAGGCAGTATGTGACTTGAGGTGCATGGCCGTGTCAGTTGTCCGAGAACGCTTAGCTACATACAAGCAGCTGGTAGATGAGTCGTTGCTAACCTCGTTGAAGCCTGCACCGCCTTGGAGAGTTCGGTACCTCAAGGTGTCCAGCTCGTGGTATCCTCGGTACATGGCCTCGGAGAGCTTCTTGAGCTGCATCATCATCCCTGAGTTGGTTATGTACCGTGCATCCGCCTCCTCGACGATGGTGGCAGCTCTTATCAGGAGGTGTTGCAACCTCTCCACCACCATCTTCTCCTCTAATTTCGCATGGATGGAGGAGTGGTACTTTTTCATCAGGAAGGAGATGAACCGGCTCACTAGTTCACCTGTAACTGCAGATATGGCAACCTCCATGGATTGATGAGGGAATCTGTTGGTCTGACTCTCTAGACAGATTACTGCAAACACTTCCTTTTTAACTGAATCCTCTACCAACTCCTACAGTGGCTCGTCGAAATATAGAAAAGTTTTTAGAGATGGCTAAACCATTGACTAGACGAGTTCAAGGGTGTGTGATCACACAGACAATTTTTTATATCTAAACGTCAAAACATGCTGATAAGGACAGGCCAACTTTCTATTATTACCTTTTGCTGGACTCAACGACCTCTAGAATTTTTTTAGAAAAGGAGGTTAAACCCCGTCCTCTGCATCAATCGATGCATGCAGCCATTTTTATTAATTATTCCATAAGGGTTTGGCAAAAGCATACATCAAGCCAACCGAAGCCGCTACTCACATCTACAAACTTGATAATGTGGAGTGCTCTCACTCCCCATATCTATAGCCAATGTCGTCACTGATTCATCCATATAACATATTGGTACAAACAACCAGTGCAACAGATCTAAAACGTACACCATATGCACACGTTTTAGAAGCCGCCATCATCATCGAACCGCTGTCCCATCTTCAGGAGAGATCTGCATAATCCTTGCCTATCCGGCCATCCATCGATGCCACCATGGCGCCCAAAGACTCCACTGCCCTGCGTTCGTCCATCCCAACGTGGAGACTCTGGAAGATCCGTTATGCGTAGCACCTGCCAACCAGGCATGACACAACGTAGCACTTGTCGGCCAGGTATGACTTGACATCTCTTACCAGGCGCATCTAATGCGGTAGATAGAACGCCGCTCCTCCTGCCAACCTCCACACCATTGTCACTGCTGGAGCTGACACGCAGAGCTGTTCACCCACAACAACTCTCCCCAGAACACCCAAACCTCCCAAGACGGCATCTCCACGGAGAGTACGACGTGTAGGGCACCGCCGCCGTCCAGTCCAAGACGGATTTTGGACTTTTGTCTGGGACGGGGTCGGAAGTGGAAAGGAGGGACCTCGGCTTCGCCTTCAAGAAGGGTAACGACGTCGAAGCCGTCGCCGATGTCGGGCAAAGTTTCCTTCGATCCTGAACCTGTACCACCAATCTCCATCTGCTCCGGATCTAGCAGCAAGCCAAGACACGAAACCTCCAGAGAGGAAAGTACTATAGGGCTCAACCCACCACAGATCAAGGTGACCCTCCGGCGTAGATCCATCCAGGCGCCAGATCAATGAAGATCCGACCTGGTCAGCGACAAATACCACCATCCTGCGCTGGCTGACAGCGTCCGGGCACCGGATCAGAAGGATCTGACCCAAACCCGACGACGCATGCGACCACCAGGTCCAGCCTCTCTCGCAGCGGCCGCACCGCGCCGCGAGCATGAGCCCCAGCAGCCAACACGCTCCGCACGCCGCGGTCAGGATCCATACGCAGTGCCGCCGCACCCCGCGCTAGTCCGGCGCCTCCTCACGTACGGTCATCCCGCGCCAGCCTATTCGCGTGAAAGGGAAAGGAGCCCCGCTGCCGCACCTGCCAGCCAGGCTTCGCCCGGCGGCGCTGCTAGCGGCGGTGAGAGTGAATAAGAGGCGGCGAAGTACGGGCGGCGGCTAGGGTTTCCCCCTGGTCGCCCACGAGGGCGACATGAGGGGGGTGGGAGGGGGCTCCTTTCCAGTATGACGACCTCTAGAAGTTTGACCTTGCAAACAGTGACTTTTATGATTGTTTTCAGAGTGGATAAATAAAATCCAAACTAAAACAATACACTCACGCCCCTAGATAAATGTTGGAGCCAAACTGATGTAATGACGACCAGTGACGGGGAGGCACCTCTTGATTGGCACTCCTCGTCGCTGCCAATCCAATCTTGAGCTGCAACAACATTCCAGAGTTTGTTATGTACCTTACCTTGCATCCGCCTCCTCGAGGACGATGCTGACTCTCATCAAGAGGTGCTGCAATCTCTCCATCACCTTCTTTGATTGTGCTTGGCTTAAGGAGGAGTGGTACTTGTTCATCAGGATGAAGATGAAACGACTCACTAGTTCACCTGGAACGGCAGATATGGCAGCTTCCATGGCAAGCAAGAAGACGATTGACGAGGGAAGCTGCTGGCCAGTTTCTATGGAGTCTGGACAAATTAATTAAACCTCTACCAAGTATTCAGAGATTATTCAAAAAATGGAAAAGGCTCCAAACTATTTTGATTGCGACGATTTCAAGGGTGGGTGGGGTGACACACGACCTCTAACATCCCTCATAAACTTACCGGTATCTATACTTCATATTTGTCCAGTATCCCATGGAATACACAAGTTGCGCACCTAGTTAAAACTTGTGAGAATGACAACTTGACAAGCCAACTGCCCAAGCGACATGGAAACATTGACTTGCATTTTTAATATTCACAGTACAGTAGGTAGGTCCAAATTAATATTGTTCCATACTGACCTTTTTTTTGGTCCTTGGAGATCACGGCACCATTGCTTTTTTCAATCAAATTTTCCTCACGGAAATTCGAACCCTTGTGCACAAGTCAATGTATTAGACCACACATTGCAGGTGTCCTTAGGTTGAGAAAAGAGAGGCTATCATTGTGTACTATATTCTCATACAATGGTAAAACTGGAAAAGAAAACTATTATGATGCCTGCAACGACACCCATGACGGACTGGCTTGTACAGCCAATTATATCGGCATTTGTCATCGTTCTTAGCAGAGGCGAGCTCCTTCCTTGAAA